AGTGGATTGCGCTTGTTGATTATTGGACGACACAAAAGGCACTGGTACATGGACATGTTGGGTTCATATTTGTGTGATTTTCATGCCCAATAGATTTAATAAACATTTATGGAACCTAAATTCTTTTCTCTATCTCATCATTATATGGTAGGATATAAGTAAGAAAAACATAGTAAACTGTACAAAGAAGAAGTCAACACATACAGCTGGAACAAAGAGTTTTGCTCGAAACAGAGAGGAGTTGGTAAATTCTTTTATAACTCAAACTGTACTCTCGCTACATCTATATGCTAATAATTATGAAGTTCTTTATATCTATTTTTCATGTTTGCAGAGGGAAAAAGATCCTAAGAAGAAAAACCCTCACAGAGCTGTTTTGTATCTCCATACACACCAGACTAAAAGTGAGGACACAAATGCACATGTGGTACGTTGTTTGTGAATGCTTCGTCTTTGATTGTTTACATCAGTAATTTTTCATGTTATTTTTATTTTTATTGGTGGTATGCATAGGAGGCTTTGAAGGAACTTATAGAGCAGCAGCCATGTTTAGCGGAGACTAGTCAAGGAAAGGTTGCATGGAAATGAGATGCACTTAGCAAAATATTAGGAGAAGAAAGGCCTGGCCATGTGCATGGCTTGGGACTTGTTCCAAATCCTAATCAAGTGTTTGGCGCATGTGCTTCAAAGCGCCTTAAGAGTGTATATTTGACTTCACTAGATGAAACATCAAGTGAAGATGTAGTGTCTTTGAGACTTGAAATGGAGAAGCTTGGGCAGCATGTCCGGAATCAAGATGCCACTATACTACATCTGCAAAAACATACCCAACAGGTAAATTTTTAAAAGTTCTATTCTAAGCATTTCCTACACTAACCTTCTGATTCCTTGACATAGGGATGTTTAGGTGATCCTGTCTATGCATCTAAAGATGGCTATTGTGCTGATGTGCCAAATATGAAACGAATGGTACGTACCCCTCTAAAAATTGACAAGAACAACAATATACTGTATTTTTTTAATAGTTGGTTCTAATTTGTAGTCATTTGTCTATCAACAGCGAGTATATAGTGACCCTCAAAATCAAGATTCTAGCATGGATGGACCTCTGAATGATACAATGGTACAATTGAATTGGATTTTGCATACCAGATTTATATCAAAGATTTATTTGTTTTATTTCATCGCAGAATGAGCATGCTAACAATGTGGAGGATGATGATCTACAGCTAGATTACGAAAACCTTAGTCATGTACATAAGGTATGCACACTAATATGGATGAGAGCATTTTACTATGTTTGGCACTCGAAAGCTAGGAATGGTTGTCGTTTTAACTGGAATTTTATGTTGTCCTTTAACTGTGACTTGTGACTTGTGCTTGCAGAGGCAGAAACTTATGATGCAGAGAAAAATAGATGTTCTTAGCTCAAAGAAACAGGTAAGGAAGCTATTTTTCAGTGATGAATCACTGTAAGGTATTTTGGTTTAAGATTCTTTTGGTTCCTCTGTAAAGAAGGTGGCTGAGCACTCATATGGAACCACAAATTTGGACTCATCTACCCCAGCCACAATAAATATTAGCTTACAGGTATTCATGAAGCACTGCCTATAGAATTTGTTGGTGAAAGAATATATTAATTTATTCTTATTCACTATAGATGGAGCAAGATGATTATGTGGAGAATGAGGATCTGCTAGCACATTACAAAGATAGTTGTAGTAACGATATGGTTTGCACACCATACTTAATACAAGGATGCAAAGCAATATTTTGTTCATTGCTAAATACCGTTATTGCCACTGCTTTCTGAGTTTCCTAACACAATGGCAGTATACTATTCTATGAACTTTATCAATTTTTTGTATTAAACGAGCACATATTACAGGTTATCTCGAAGGAAACTTATGCTACTCCCTCAAATTTTGAAGCATCTCAGTACCAAGTAAATATCTTTCTAGCACTGATATTTTTGTTAGCTAATTTTCCACAACTAAGTTATCGGTTTTGACTTGTTACCAGATGAACAAGATCTCAAAAAGGCCTAGTGCATCAGTACCTGCTAGTGTATCAGACACATCTCTTAAAAATTCATTTATCCTTTTCTTAAATATTCTTACAACTGGAGTCTAAGAATCCCCATATATACTTTTGTAGAAGAATCATCGTGGCACAACAAGTTTGTCAACTGGCAATACAATAAAGGTATGATTATTCAATTTCTTGGACAGACTGTGATCTATTATCTGCTTATTTATTGTATGCATATATTTGTGAACCAGGTTGGCACCAAAGTATACTTACAAAGATGGAAAAATCGAAATAAGAATGTTGCAATGGGTAAACTAGTGAGCTGTGATCCAAAACAGAAACTTGATGGTGTTCAGCTAGGCAAAGAATTTTGGATGGTTTCTGTTAGTTTTGTAATGGTTGAAGATGAACCATTGATACGACCATACAAAAACTACAAGGTTATTAGAGATGTAGAAGGAGGAGTCCATGTTGCATGGCCTTCAACTCTTGTACGGTCTTTTCTATAACCCAACATGATTTTAGTTCTCATATGTGTCATGTTATTTAATTTAATTTTCATTTAATTTTCAGATCGAGAAGATAGATATATGATCACAACAGAGGAACACTTGACTGAACTAAGGAAGGAGAAAGGAGGACAGTTATCATGTTAGGAGGAATCTTTTATATGTTTCATATTTGCTCACATAGGAACATGTGCTTTGTACAAAAAATTGTGTCATGAATTTGGATGGTACTTTGTAATGCGACAAATTATTTATAATATATATATATATATATGGCTCAGTGTGCTTATTTTTATGTTGGATGGTATTGCATTTTTATTAAATTGTACAATATTATCTCTATTGTTGTCTCAAAAATAAATAATTATATAATATCAATATGAACGAATGGTTTATTCCTTACAACGCATATAAGTGTTGCAATAAACCAAATTTATACGTTACAACAAACCATAGAGGCTATTCACACATGGTCTGTACAAACACATATATGTGTTGCCATGATCAAACATTATGCGTTGCAACTTTACAACGGTTATTACCACATGTTACCAACGCATAAATAAGTGTTGCAATAGATCCTTGCAACACCACTTTAGGAAACGCATACAAGATGCGTTGGTATAGACCCTGCCAACGTATATATGAACTTTTAGCAACGCATATTTACGTTGCAAAAGGGGGTGTCATTTTGTAGTGATAAAACTATATTTTTTTCTATTACTTCCTTCATTTTTATATTATTTATTTATTTACAATATATACACTTGGTCAACATGTGTTGTCACTTCAAAATGAAAAGCTAAGCAGTATCTTCAAGTGTGAGGTCACATGCATTTGTCTTATCATGAGATTCCACTCGTGCTAAACTTTCACTACAGCAAATTGTAGTGTTACATTATTGCATCTATCTTATCATAATAGCATGCTATCTTCAATTGTCCATATGTATATGAATTTCCGGCTATAAAACGATATGTAGAGTTGTGTAATAAGCCACTAAAGCATTTACAAAAAATGCCCCCCAAGTAGGCCTAACCAGCGGCCATGGTCTCTCCATGGTGCAAAATAGTTATGAAAATGACCCTAATCACACACTCTCGGACTCCTTCTCAAGCTACTCAAAAGCCCTTAGGGTTATACTTAGATTAAAAGATATTACAAGAATTTCAAATGAATACATTTTTTATTTATTTATTTAAATTCCTTTATTTAAATTTGAAAAGATGATTACAATTTCATTCGCTAGCTTGCAACGACAATGTTAACCAGTTAATTTAAAATTTCTTGTTTGGATTTATGGAAACGAATACAAATCAGATTACTGTCCATGCCATAATTGAAATCCCAAATTTCTAAGGTGGCAATTGTTTATCATTTCTACAGTAAAAACACTGCGCTTTGCTTCGTTGCGCTTCGCTTCGTTTGTACGGGAGAAACCAGAATGACAAATATAATGAGAAGACGAAAGATCTCAATTTTCTTCATTGCACAGCTATATAAAAATTCAATTAAAACTCAAATTTAACTCAACTTTAACTCAACACCACTATCTCTCATATTATCAATATAATTAAATAATTTTAACCAATCATTCTTACACATCACATCAACTTTAATTCACTATTCATCCGCTCACATAATTTTTTTTTCCACTCACATAATTTTAACAAACCATCACTTCTAATCATTTTTTTTCATATTTTACATCAAATCAACTTTAATTATTTTATTTAAATATTATTTTAATATATTCATTAATACTTAACCATATCACATTTTTTAAAATTAACTATAGTTAAAATACAAACCAAATAAAAACTAGTTGAATCCTTATACAATCACCCATATATAATTATTAGTTGATTGATGCCTCTTTCACATACCTAAAAAGACGTTCCACACAGTGATAATAATAATTAAAAGAAAAAAAAAAAAATGACCTTTGGATGGATATAAACTAGCAATTTGTTTGTTCATCCAAGTGCAAATGGGATAACATGAAACTAGCATTGATACAAGGAACTTACAAAAGATAAGTTAGTAAACCCACAGTAAATGCAAGGACGCTCATAAAATATCAAAATGCAATAACTTACATCTAACAAATTCGAGTTTGAGAGAGTTGATAAAACATTGTTAAAGTTATGCAAACTGCTGAGAACTAACTCCAGTGTTTCTTCCTTCAGCCCACAACAAACAAACATCCCCCAAACATACCCAGCCGAGCGTATCACTCACATCACATATGGAGGTTGATGGTATTACAGAGCTGGAAAAATCAACACCAATCCCACCTTGAACCTGCGCCTCAACACGTAAAACCCAGTTTTGATTCACCCTCAACGGATACAAACCATGATGAAACTCACCCAAAGGCGATTCTTACGTTTAGGAGCCGCACTCACTTTCAACCATTCACACGACACCATAAGATCAAGTCAATAACAACACACCATCTTCATCATCAACATCAACATCAATATCCTCCGTGAAAACCCCATCCATTGTTGTCTTGCTCTCCTTCTCCAACTCATACACCTTGTCCCTCATGCCCTCCTTTCCATACGCATCAATCATCACTCCGTAAGTCGTGGAGTCCGGCCGGTAACCCTTTCCCTTCATCCTCTCGAAAACCCTCTCCATCTCCATTAAGTCTCCTGCCTTGGCGCACGCGTAGATCACCGCATTGAAAAACGATGTGTTTTCTGGCACCTCCAACCTCCCCGCCAACCTCACACTATCTATCACCTTATGAAAAAGCCCGCCGTTCGCATAACCCCTAATCAAACAGCAAAAAGTCTTGACGTCGGCCCGGATCCCCTCGGCCCGCATCTGCTCGAACGTGCAATGCATGTTCTCCGCATCACCCGCATCCGAAAATGCCTCAATCACGTTGTTATAGGTCGAGGTCGTCCAAGGAAAGTTTAGCTTCCGCATGTACTCCATCACGGACGACATTTTGTCGTACATTTTCCTTTTCCCGTAGGCTCCGATGAGGATATTAAAGGTTCGGGTCTCGGGTTCGATCCCGAAATCGCGGAACTTCTCGTACCATTGCTCCATCATCTCGATCCGCCCCTCATTCCCGAAAACAGCGATGACCGAGTTCATGGTCCACACGTCGGGCTGGGGGCCCATGGGGTTCTCGAGCATCCCCGAAAGCACCTTTTCCATCTCGTCGTATTTTCCCGCCTTCCCATAGCCGCTGAGGACCGTGTTCTGGGTGACGGTGTTGGGCGTGATGGATCGTTCGGCCATCTCCTCATAAAGCGGGCCCACGAGGTCGAAACGCTTGGCATCCACGCATGCCTTGATGAGGATGCTGTACGTGTAGACGTCCGGCTGGCACTGGGGGAGGCTTTTCATTTGGCCGAGGACCGTGAAAGCCTTGTCCACGAGGTTGCTCCGGCAGCAGGCTGCTAGTAGGGCGGTGTAGAGCTCGGCGGTGGGCTCCAATCCACCCTCCAGCATTTCATCGAACAGTTGGTGGGCTTGACCGGGCTGCCCGCACCGCCCTAGGAGGACGAGGAGCCTCATGTACGTGCCTTCCTTTGGGTAGTAGAAAGGCTGCGCCTTTAGCATCTCAAAAACCTAAATTAAGGATGAATTCAGTGCGTATGAGTTTTTTATCCTTTAAAAAATGAAATTAGTAAAGAAAACGAGTGATTTGAACTGTAATAAACTGACCTCAAGGGCACGGAGCCATTGCTTTTTGTCGATGGCGTCGGATAGGGCCTCGGTGACGGTATTGGCCCACGCTTTGGCGTTTTGCTTCCTGTCGAGTTTCTTCTTGATGTTCTTGATTGGGGTTCTTTTCTTTTTGTTGGGGGTCTCGATGAATCCGGGATATTCGCCAATTTTCCAATGTTTTTTTCTCGCGGGCGGATTCGACGCCGTCGACGGCCGCGGAGGGGCGGAGGCGGCAGAGATGAGGAGACGGCGGAGGGGACGAACGGCGGCGGTTGTGGGGCCGGCGGGGAAATGGTGGCGCGGGAGGAAGGAGGAGGAAGAGGCGAGCTGAAAGGCTGCCGCCATTTGCGTCTTTTGCATTCGGTTTTTGTTCACTGCAGTTGTGTCTGTGTTGGACAGAATTCGATGGTGTGGCCACAGGATGCAAGTTGCAGAAAGTCGAAATTGTCCTTTCGGATAAAATCATAAAAACTCATCAATTTTGCCAAGGATATTCCAAGAGGGAATATCAGCAATAGTAGATATTATAAATCTATAATAATCACTATCACCAAAGACCTAGTTAATCTTCAAAAACAAAACTACAGCAACAAACTATATACAAAGAGAAATTAACAACTAGAGGCAGCCAATCATAGGTTATTATCTTCCACTTCCACACAAGAGGATGTAAGAAAACTGTAGTTTGTCTTCTGAGGTTGGGGAGTTGTTGACTTATCAAGCCTTTGGCTACCACTGTTTGAAGCTATTTGTATCTGCATCAATGCCTTCCCAAGAATTTGGAGAGAGTTTCCATGTGAGTTTTGCTCTTTTGCATTAGAAGAATATGTGCTCCTGTGTCTCCCTCTCTTCCCCACACATCTTACATGTCTGATCAATTTTCAGGCCTCTCTTGTTGAGATTGCCTCTCACAAGAATGATATTGTTTAAGCATTTCCACAGAAAGTGTTCCACTTCGGGTTTAATTATCAGATTCCAGCTTCTCATCTTGCCTTTCTGCGTGTGGTTTGTTCTTTGCTTGATTCAAGGGAGTCAATGTTCAAAACTTTGCTATTTATCAATTTGAAATAGGCAAAGGCCACTGAGAAGTTGCGATTAATTGTCCATTCCCAGGTCAACATGTCCTTCTGATTAGGATCTAGTCCACTGATGCTTAAAATGGCTTTTGGTTCTTGAGATGTGAATCGTTCCTCCACTAGACTCATGTTTTATCTTCTGCATGAGTCTTCCAGAAGGTATTTGACCTACTGAATATGGCTTGGAGAGTTGTTCCTGATATGAAGTTTAAGGCTAGGGATAATTGGGACCCATGGATGATCCCAGACCCTAACACTCTGTCCATCTTTAATGCAATATCTCAGCCCTGACTTGAAGGAAACTCTTTGCTTAAGCCAACTAGCCCATAACCATGAACAATGAAACATATATTTGATTCGGAGTGCGCTAAACAACGTACGAACTTGAATAATAATTGTAAAATGCGAAAGCAATAAATCGAAGATTTAAAAACTCTTCAGGGAAGCATCCCACTTCCCCTCAGAGCTCTTTTACTGATAAACCGTACATTGTCATAGTTTGGACTTACAAGACTCGAATTCCCTTCTAGTCTAGCCAATACTATACACGATCCTATCAACTATTTCTCCGGCCACGTCCCGTGGACTTTTTAAACCTACACTTATCCCTAAGTGTAAAACACAAAAGCAGTTTGAATGAAATTAACTAAAGCAAACTAAAACAGCCTTAGTTCTTGGATGCGCTAGAAACCCTCGAACTGAACTGTGTACAAAACTGAACAGAATAGAATATATCAAGCTCGTGTATTGCTCTAAATATCTATATATTCAGCAGTCGCAATAGGAGCTTCTCTTAGGGTATTTATGTAATCTCCTTAGAGTTGGAGTCTTCTACACGGCATATGACTCCTTGTGATTTCCTTCCATATTTGTAGCTCAAGTTTGGTAAGTGAATCTCCTTTTCTCTCTCTTTATGATCTCCTCTTCATGCAAACCTCTCTCTCCTTCTTTGCCATAAAATCCGGTTCCCTACAATAAGAATTACCAAAATAAGATCCATGCAATCTTATATATGGAATACAAAATAAACTAAGTAAGGAAATAAAATAATATAAAGATCTTCCCTTTTTCTGTGGTTCCAGGTGCTTGTTCGAACCAACGAACTAATGCCAAACAAAAATATCTTTCAATCTCCCCCTTTGGCATCTAGTTCGAAAACAAACAAACTTAAATGTATCGTGAAAAGTGAGAACAACAAGCACCAAACAAAGACAAGAAAGAAAACATGAAGGGGAATAAGTTCAAGTTATCTCAAGAATGATGACTGTGAGTAAAACCAGTTCTCCCCCTCAGCTCCTGCAGTCATCCATATCAAAATACAACTAAATCAATCAAAATAAACTTCCATTCATTCAAAATAAGTAGACAACCTGCAAGAGTAGCAAGAGTTCACCAAAACACAACCACAACCAGTAGCAAGCATCACATCACAATAGCAAATAAAATATGAGGTTCTAAATACATTAGACCTCCCTTCATCCCTCCAGAATACTCAAAAGAAAACAAACTAACATACTAACTACTTCCCAGCAGCATACTTGTCAATGGCATCATCAGTCGAGTCTCCCCCTGAGTCCGAGTCCTCGTCCTTTCCAGCACTGCCCTTCTCCCTCTTTTTCGAACTACAGGATGCCGAAGGGCCTGTCCCCGTGTTCTTGCGCTTGGTTCCCTTCACTGCCTGCAGCACTTGTCGAAGATAGGCTTGCTGAGCTGCAACCTTCTTAGCCATGTCGTCCCACTCCCCAAGCTGTTGAGCACAAACTAATCCCAATTCTTAGGGACTAAAGAGGGAGCAAGTTCTCTTGCGACCTTGGACACATCTTTTTCATTAAGTGTCCGAGCACTCACAGTAAGTGCCTTGTCAGGGCCTGCAAGAGAATCTTGATAGCGAGGGTTGACATAAAAATTATGTGCAGCAATGAAGGACCAGATGAGACAAGAGAAGGGAAGGGATTTACGAGACTCACTGTTGGCAATAAAAGACTGTAGAATGTCAAAAACCAAATCCCCAAAGCTAAAAACTTTCCCTATCATAACCCAATAGACAACTTTACTCTGCAGTTCAGTGAGAAGGGTTTTGTTAGAAGTGGGGGTCCAGTTACCAGCACCAATCTTATGAAGAAGATTGGCCACCAAACAAAGGGAACTGACATAAAGATTAGAACCGGGCCAAGCGTCCAAGTGACCAGAAGTAAGAACTTTGGTCATGGCATCTAGATCCACTTTAGAAAGAGAGGAACTATCAATGTCAGAGGGCAAACCAAGATGAGCATTGATCAGAGAAGGGGACAAGTCAATTACACGGTTGCGAAGAAACAACTTATGGAAACAAGGGCTATCAGGAACAAACACAGCAGGGTTTAGGTTGGCATAGAATTCTTTCACAAGTTGACCACAAAAGGGTTGAAGATTGGACACAGTTTTAGACAAACTCACAGACTCAATCAAACCAAGAATACCCAAGTCATCATACTTACCACCTTCTACAGGGTGTTCAGACCAGATTTCATACGACCCAAAACTCAAAAAGCGATCATGAGCTGCCTCTGTGTAGAACATGTTTGTGAACGTGTTCTCGAGATCATATGCATCATCCTATGGCTCAGGAGGTACAGGTGGCTCGTCAATGGACTCTTTCCCACTGCGGCGAGAAGAGCAGCGCACTGGAACCCTAGATGGAGGAGTTGGTTGATCGGAGTGAACTTCAACAGGGGTTGCTGCAATATCGTCTTTTTCACCCTCTGTAGTCGTCATTTTGGTTATTGACTTCGTGGCAGAAGTTGGAACTGCAGATGACTCCCCCTGATTCTGAACTGCAGGAACTTCTTCAAACCCGGAGAGACCAGGTACACCAGTGGACAATGGAGAAGGTTCAAAATTCTTGCCAACAGTATCTGATTTGGTCGGCGAACCAGATGGAGAAGCAGTAAGAGAGGCAAATTTTTCTGGAGGAGAGGATTCACGAGATGGAGATTTTGCCGGTGGCGCTTCAACCTCTTTTCCTTGTGCTTCTTCAGCCGCTTCTTGGACTTGTCTTTGCTACCAGCCATGGGAAGAAGATGATGATGAAGAATGGTGTAATTAGGGTTTCAATCGGTTAAAGAGAGAAGAGAGAGTAAAGGCGATACAATCTGAAGAAGAAGGAATGATTAAAAGATGGAGAAGCGTGACAGTTTAAAAGAGGTTCTGACATAGGTAACTGCAAAAAGCAGTTTCCGAGTTTAAAGGTGAGGAGAGAGAAAGAGACGTTGACAAGTTGGGCGGTTTAGAGCAAAAACTGATCCCTCCAAATCTAAAATTCAAACACAATAAAACTCCCCACAAGGATAACTTCTCACAATATTTCGACATTTAGGAAAGAAATTTGATTTTATCCCAAACATATTTCACACAAAATTTTAGACCCAAATAATTCGAATTCAATAAAGAAATCACATGCAATCATGCCTAAGGATGCAATAAAAGAAAATTGCACACAAAATACACTAGATTAATAAAATTTTCTTTCTCAACTTAAACAAAATTAAGAATGACAATCAGAGACCAATTTTGTGATTCAAACTTCCCAAGGAACATACAATTAAGCGGATATATGTATATACACAAAGTAGTGCAAACCAAAACTTCAATTTTTGCAAGAACACATGCCTTATTATTCATAGTGCGTTTCACTTAGTAACAATCACTGCAATAGTGAATGTCAAACCCACTACTTTGCACCATGATTTTAAGCAAGGATCCTACGTTTTTTTTTTTTAAAA